AGGTACCAGTACTCGTCCAGCAAGTACGGTGGGCAAGTTAAACCTTCAAAGCAACAACAAAGAAATGCCGGTAGTGAATGTGTGTGGTGAGAGAAATTAATTCTGATTTCAGGATGGATTGGAGGAGGGAGCGAGATAAGTGTCGTGGGTAGGGAGGGAGGGAAGATGCGAACTATAAAGAAATTATTAGGTGATCTCTTGAAGGGATTGATTGATTGAGCAGTACCGTAAGGCTTTCTTTTGCGAAGAGATAGAGAGGATGATCGGCGGAAACACCAAGTAGAAATAAGAGTGTCTTGTGATGCGATCATCCTCTGAAGGTCATTTGCTATCCTATCCCACTGGCTTTGCCATTCACTGCCGCGACTCAGCGGGGTAAACCCGAAGCGTTGGAGCGACAGGCCGCGGACCTGCCAGCACGCAACATGTCAAAGATAAGTTATTCCTTTGGTAAGAAGAAATCCCAGACTTCCGGCACAGTACAAGTACTGGCGGGGAAGTTTTCGTACAAGCCGGAATTGTTTTTCTAGTTAACACTCCCATCTTGTACGAAAACTTCTTACCTAGCACTTGTACCATCATATCCCACTTTTTTCCTTCCCTTTCCTTCCCTTTCCCTGTAACTGTGACTAGGCTCTTTCTTAGACTGCCTTGGGTATGGCTTGAAGCAGTAACACCTTGCTTAAGGGATAAGAGAGGATATGTGCACTGTGCTGCAGTGTGGTGTACTGTATGTACGGGCAGGAAACAAATCAAATTGGCCTGACACTTCATCCCGAGGTTTCATGGCTTGCCTTTTCGCTGGCTCTCCCCTTACAACCAGCGGGATGCGTCCCCCTTCCAGAACAACACAGAAAGGGTTAAAACAGGCGTATTACTCGTGTGAGAAACGACATGAAAAATGGAAGAAAAACCACCTTCCTCTTCCCCCATTCATACTACCGGTAATCAATCGCAATGGTTTGGTTTGGCGCGAGTCCTGTTCACCGTACCTCTGCAGCAGCGGGTAAGACAGTCTAACCGTTCCATCACATAGATATGCATGCAAGCATATAAAGGTACTCAAGTGAATGTATCCCGCCTTTATGCCGGGGTTCAATAGGAGGGGCTTCCCTCCCCTATTGGCCCACTCAGCTTCCGAATCATAAGGTATTGTGTGATGTGGAGGTGTGTTTGCGGTGAAGGGAGGGGTGGAGAGAAAAGAGATGAAAGCCTCGAAAAAGCCCCTCATCCCCAAAGAGTTTGTGGATAAAGCCCTTTGGCGGCCCAATTTCCTTGGCCCAATGAGGGAGGTCAATGGTGCGAACCGAGCAAGAGAGGGTGGATACCGGTAGGAATAGAAGGTTAGTGATGCCAGTTGATTAAAAGGTGGGAGTGAACCCGCGGGCGGACGACCACTGGGAGCATCACACAGCAATGGAAGGGAATGAGGTGAATCTCTGGAGTGAGAGTGGGAGAGGGGGAAATATGCATAGAATCTTATAATACCACAACTCAAAAAAAAAGATCAATCAATACCGGTATGGATACTATTTCATGGTGGCATACTTGTGAAGGAAAGGTTTCATTCATTCATTCATTCATTCGATCAAAGCACATTAGGCCATCATGTCGCGTGTTGCGGCTGAAGATCAGGTGTACCATAAGTTACCATTTTACGCTCGTGCTTCAGAACTCCAAATTATCGTGAACACCCTCAAAATTATAACTTTTACTGTATGGTACAGTACGCGCGAAGGAACGGACGAATAAAGCACCACATCTCACCTTCATAAGCTAACTCTCGTCAACCACTCTGTGCCAAACAAGCCCTCGTCCACCGCCTCCACCACAACTTCTTTGACGATGGGGCCCATTTCAACCCCCTTCAACAGCTCGCCTCCATCCCCTCCCTCGAACGCCACCATGGCCTCTTTAACTGCGGCCTCGATTCTAATCCTCACATCGCCTTCAAGCCTCTTCGCCCCGCGGTAGTAAACGCTCGCATTCTTGGCCAAGACGTCTCTGCTCTTCACCGCAGCGGGGACACCCAACTTGGCCCTTAAGATTTCCACGTCCCCTCTCGCAATGTGAATCTCGGACTTGCCCGGCTCAAGCTTGGCTGCCGCAGACAAGCTTTTTGCAGCAAACGCGTAATGTCTCCAAGCCAAATACGCCACGGCCTCCTCCTCCTCCTCCTCCGTCTTATCTGCGGCGGTGGAGGCAAGTCGAATATGAGCGTCGGCTCTATCGCATAGTTCCCGAAAGTCTCGGGTCGTGCCTTCGGAATTCGGAAAGGCCAGGTGGACCGCTGCTTCCCACCCTGCGAGGTCGGTCAAGCCTGCTCTAAAGCTAGCTTCTCCAAGTGATACCCCAAAGTTGGCTTTGGCAAGTGCGACTTCCTGCTCTCGCCCTGTCTCTTGAGATAGTGGGATTATCTTTGACGACAACAGGGTTTCACCCATGGATTGTGCCCAGGATAATGACTTTCCTCCAAGGTTCTCCACCGCGCAAAGTGGCAGCAATGACGCACATGCCTCCAGTTGAGCAAGCGCCGTGTCTAAAATTTGACTCAATGTCACGGGAGTCTGTACGATTACCCATTGTGCGTTGTCGCTTCCAGACCCTTCACTCATCTGCTCATCTTCCTGGCCCCTCCCGCTGCGAATGGGGTTCTCGGATTCGCCTGGGAGCTCGCCGGTATCCATGTCAGTGTCTCCTTCATCTCCGGCGCCGTTACCGTCCCTTAGGCCGAATGGGGCGCGCTTGGATTCCTGGACCTGGAGGCATTTCTGAAATACCTCCACCGCTTCGCATAGAAATTTCAAAGCTTCAGACCGTGCTTCGACAGGTGTGTTCTTATACTCGACCAGGACCTCGGCAAGGCTGCAAAGTGCTTGCCCCGTGTTGCTATCGTATCCAGTTAGCTTTCCACGGAAATTACCAAACTGGATTGGATTGGAGGAAGGACCCACAATAAGGCATCTTGATTCTCGGGATCCAAAACTAGGCATTCCCGATGACTCTGTACTGCATTCTCTAATAGCAATTTTGAGGTTACGTCTGAAGGAGTGGGAAGCAAGTTTTGGTGTTGCGCCAGCTGGTATAGCAAACGCGCTCTGCAATGCCCAGGTTAACGAGTGAACCTCTTGTGACTAGATGAATGGAATTCAGTTACCTATTGTAAGTCGCATCAAAAGATCTCGAATTCCTCTTCAATGCCGCCTCGTAACTCTCTATAGCCTTAAAGTAAAACCTCCCAGCCTAGTATCGTACGCACCATGCATGCATCCATCCCACAAGTGTCAATTCCATCTTTTCACAAATCGCTACACAAAAAATGCACACATAACACACCTTTGCTTTATCCCCAGCCCTCCACCGATCCCCAGACTCCTCCAATTCAATACCAGCTACAATTCCCACAACTATCAGTACCATACCCATCCCAACTACCAATATAGCACATGTAAGAATCCTCACTAACCATCAAGGAATTCCTCAGAAGTTTCCGGGAGCTACGGTACCGGTTCCGTAAATTAGCTTAGGACTGTACAGTATAGTACTGTGGTTTGAGGGATTGGTGTATGCGTACCTCCTTCTTCCGCTTGTTACTGCGAACAGGCGGAAATCTACGTTTCGGCATCGCGGGGGGAGTTCACTTCACAAGTTGGCGGGAGGGAGGGGAAGATGAGGCTGAGAATTAGAGTTGGGGAGAGAGGGGTTGTCACATGTCTGTCTGTCCTGCTTTTATCGAACCATCTTTTCCTGAGCGAATGGCTCGGTATGATAGAAACCTACGGATAGGAGATACACGATGGGTATTATGATATTACCTATGATACCTATCATAGCCTACCCCTCCATTCCCGCTCGAAAAATTATGCGGAAAGAAAAAAAGCCTACATGTACATGATCTGGTATGATAGAAAAATCAAAGCATGATATGATATGATAATAAAACAACGCTCAATCAAGTCAATCCCCCATAACCTCCTCACCAACAACCTCCTTCCTCCCAGCCACAACCACCTCCACAGCTCCATCCAGCATGCTCAACCTTCCCTCTAATACTTTGACCAACTCCTCAATCTCCTGCCTCTGGGCTTCGATCCTCCCCATCAACTCGGTATTGCTTCCCTGCACGACCTCGATCTTGTCCGCGACCTCTTTCTGCGCAGCGAGTAGTAGTGGCGTGAGTTGTGCCGTGAGAATAGTCATTGGAGGTAGTGTTGACGGACTATTTATTTATTTATTTCGTAGATTAGTTAGTACACATAATTACGGTAGAAGAAAAGAAAAGAAAAGCAGAGCAAAGGTGGCCCGGGGGGGGGGGGTAAATTACGAAATAGCAACCTCCCCAGGTGCAGCTGTCACCCTACGCTCCTCCGCTTCTCTAGTCAATTCATCAAGAGCATTCAGACCAGCGACAACGTTCCGTTCTTTCAGGATGGTTTCGTATTCTCTCTATATATATCCTTGACATTTAGCCATTGCTTTCCTTTTTTATTTATTCATCCATCCCCTCGCGAGGGGAGAGGGAGAGGGGGAGAGGGAGAGGGAGCGGTGGGGTATTATTATATATATACTTTAGCACTACTCTCCCAAAACCCGCACATCTGCTCCCAGGCGTTCCTGAGAACGCCCGGCGCGCGCCGTGCCGGAGTCGGGAAGCATGCGGCAAAGTTCTCGTACGAGCACGTTTTTATGCTGCGGTCGAGGGCCGCGGTGAAGACGCTGCGGAGGGCGGTCGCACGGATGCCTTCTGCTAACTCTTCCTCTGGGTCTGGGCCTGGCTCTGTTGTTGTTGATGTGGGCGGCAGTGGTGGAGGTGGTGGGTTTGGATCGGACATTTGCTGCGCGGTGGTTGTGGTGTTGGATTATAACTTGGATAGGATGGGTTTAGTTTTTTTTTTTTGGCGGGGTGGAGCTGGGTTGTGGTGGTGGTTGTGGTGGCGGTATTTCAAAATGGTTTTTGTGTGAGTATATGGTGTTTTGCTTGTTGATGTTCTGTAGTGAAAGGTCGCGTGGCCCAATGGCAAGGCGCTTGACTACGACTTTCAATTGAAATCAAGAGATTGCAGGTTCGATCCCTGCCGCGATCATTTTGTCAACTTTTTTATATCCTCCTTTTGGTATTGTGGATGACGTTATATTTACTGGTATCATACTCGCTCTTTGCTCAAGCCATCAGAGATTGGGTGAGAAATTTGGGGAATCGGCGGTAGCCGCCGCAGCATAAACCTCATGTGATCCGCGGTCGTATCCCCTACTGTGTTCTTCGGATATGACGAGAGATTTATGATTAGGAGGTTTCATCATCTCGTGCTAATTGTTGGTCCCCCCCGCAACTCTGCGCGAAAAGTTACCGACCGGCTAAACATTGGAACTTCGAACATGTGCAAGGCCACCAAGACCCTAGGCTTCCAAAGCTAAAGTGCTAGCAACCTGAAGTCTATTTGCAGCAGTGGGGTGGGATGCCTGATAACTGCGAGTGATCATATATGAACTATGAATTATGCTTTCATCGTACATAACAGTGCATTCTGCCTTTCCCCCGCTTTCCCCCCGCTAGTTCACTAATCCACTGTCCTTCCAATTATCATTCCAAAGGACCCAAGCAATGAGCGGAAAGAAAAGAAAAAAAAAGGAAAACCGTTCCATTCTGAATCCCGTGAGTATCATGAAAAACCACTCCTTACCTGGATGCAAACCGCAGAGAAATCTTGAAGATGGGGAAATCAAAGAATAAATGGAAAAAAATCGCTTGATAACAGAACGGAGAATAGAAGGAAGCACCGGGGCTGGAAAAGGAACCAAGAACGATAGCTGAAAATATGAAAAAATGGAAAAATAAATAAAGAAAGGGTAAGATCTATACATAAGTATGATAGCAATAACTTCAGGGAAACAGGCAGCGAGCAATCAGCACCACCACTATGGCTCTTAACTCTTCCTCCCACTATAGAGCGTGAGGGGATGTCACGCCGTATACACCTTGTCTCCAAGTCCCAACCAGCTCTCCAGTTCCACGTCCAACACACTAAAACCCAAGACCCCTGATATAAGATGCGCTCCATACATAGCCTAGCACTCCAGCGGTCCATTCATTGCGGCTCTGTTAAAACGTGTCCCACACAGTCCGAGTAAATGCTTCTCGTTCAACCTAGTTGGTCTCATCTCTGATAAGAGCAACAATCATACTGTATAGGTAGAAGAAGAACATGACAAGGTGAAAACCAAGTTTGATGAAAGATTCCTAAAATTCAACATAGTAGGCGGTTAGCGGATGAACAAAAATTGGAATATAATAGACAAGATGGATACCTTCTTGTGTTTGTTCAGTGTTCGGAAGATCTCCGTAGCATCCAGGAGATGAGCATTGTCCAGAATCCTGTTCAATAAATTAGCCGGGTGTTGGAAAGTAAGTTTAAAACACTTCTAAATCCTGCCTCACAATGACAACCAATCACGTCATAGGGGTGTGGACCTCCAGAGAAAAAGGAAAGAAAAAGAAAAGAGGAGGAAACACCCCAAAGCTCAAAGAAAGTGCTTACTTCTTAACGTTAAATACCACGAGCGGCAGATTGAGTAGTAACGCTAGCCAGTACCCATTGACCAGAAACAAAGCGGTGAGGAAAGCGTGGACAGCGGCTTCGGGAACAATGTAGGTGTTAAGGCGGTTGCAAAGATCGATGGGGTTAATGTAATCGCATTCGAGGTCCGAATACCTGGGCCAAACCGGGACATCAGCTTCCGGACAATAAACGGGAAAGGGAAGCCTCATCGATTGAAGAGGTGGGCAGTAACTTGATATATATACGAACATTATGGTGAAGAAAACTTGGAGAAATAGGTTGACAGCATTTAATAATACTGCCAGAAGGTATAGCCACGCTTCACCGGACATGATGATTTCCGATTATTTTTTTGTGTCGTTGATCGCTTCGTCGTTGATTAAGCGCGTGATCGGTAGGCAGAGATTAAGGCAAACGGACCGTAGGATGCAACAATCCACCAGGTTGAAAGACTAAGTGTCAGCAACAATAAAGTTAGCGATCGATCCTGTGGAGTTGGGAAACGGTTTTGCTTAAAAAACGGATTTTACTTACAGAAAGGAGGCGGGAGGCGGGAGGCGGAAGGTGGAAATCGGCGAGGATGGGCGGGTGAAGTGAGAGAGACTGTTGTGTGAGAAGGGAAAGAAGGTTTTCGAAAGAAAAGCAAGAGGAAAAAAAGCACGGAGGTGCTTGTTGGCCAAAGGGACTTCAGGGATTAAAGAAAAAAACAAAAAACAAAAAATACCGAAAGCCATCCCAGCCCACGGCTAAATTTGTGAGAATTATCGGTTACCCTCTCTTGCTTTATCTTCACCCTCGCATCCGCCTCCGATATCCTTGATTTTCAAATGCTCTGCTCGGTGACGTTCCGTTCCGTTGCTTATCGGGTTTGCACAGTACTAGTAATATGGTAACCACAAGAGTGTGCTGCTAAGCTCACTGCTTTCTTTTTGCTCTCGTGACAACCTGTCAGCCTTCAGCTCTGAGCCGCTAGCAGATGGTGCCCATAACACATACTTTACAGGTATGTCGCTGGAAAATCATGAAAGATCACTCGAGATATTTTACCTATGATTTTGAGTGAGCACCTGGTGTTTGTGCAATTCCATATCTAAGGGCTTGAGGAGACATAGGGTTGGTTTCGGGTATCTACCAACTGTAGCCCCCCATACGTTGTTTAGGCCTAGTATCATATGAGCTTTGAGAAAATATCTTGTTGGCGTTAGATATCTTGTTGGCGTTAGGAGTCTTGCGTTGAGGCTCTCGGGACAGTGCTTCATTGCACTGTATCAGACTGGATTCGCCTAGTAGTGGGTTTGGAAGCAGGGCACTTAACCTGGTCTAGAGGGGCAAAGTTTCTATTGCTGGGCATTCTGGGGGTGTTATGTGTTTGGACATCATGGCATTCGGAAGTTTTTTTTTACCATTCTCTATTATTTGCCGCTCCTGGATTCGCTTTCTATTTAGTTAGCCCAGTCATTTTGCTGCCACCCCTCCCATATCGTAACCATGCAATGGTTTTAGGTATCCGGAATAGGGTATCAACCGAACCTTAAGCTGTGTCAGCTGTGTTATAGCATAACTTTATCAACATTCTAATAATAATTTGTGAAGTTATTCTACTGAAGAATAAATCATATTTTATTTATGGTATTAACTTGCGGTGTTTCTAAGAACAATAATCTCGAGTCTGTGGAGATACCAATTGTAAAATACCTAGATAAGAGGAAGATATGTGTTTCAAGTCATGGCAAACAGTGATCGCCACCACAGTATTGCTAGGGTGTATCGATCTTGAGAAGATATGACAGCTAGTATCTGACCTCGATAGGTTGCGAATGCACTAAAGTTTGATGGTGCAGAGTAAGGTGAGAGTCAAGCATCCATGTATATGAAGAGTGGGAGGAGGCAGAAACTCCTGTTGGCTGATATCGGGGTCATTGAAGCTAGGATTTTCTTGATGGGCTTATAATGGATTTGCTACACAGAAAATTATAGATGGATTCGTGGATATGGGTGACAATGCCATCGATTATGTTTGGTTTATATATTCAGCTACTCGCAGGAACATGATCCCCTAAAGGTATCAGATCTTCGTCCGTATTCAAAGGTAAAGGTGCTTAGGTGACTAAGTTGTAGTAACATAAGAGCTTTCGGCGTGTTCTGGTAGTGTACATTCTGTGTGCTCCACTATTATTGTTAGATTTTAATAAGTTTTGGCGGGCAAGATGGTATTGTCGAGAATACTCTCAGCGGAGATTGGGATATCGACTTTAAGAATGAAGTAGGGGGGTGACAGAAAGTGATGAACATTTTGTGGGTGTGCTCTAATACAAGAACCAGCCATAGAGCTGGTAATGCACTGCTGTGGACTACCTATCAACTTACGTCACCCCCTGTGCAGCGGTCGCACCTCTGGTCTGGATAATCTGGGATCCAAGGTCATGTGATCCTTTCAAGATTCCATAGAGTTAGGCTATATCAGCAAATGGTCCAGGGAGCGCCGAGGAGCGCCAGGAGTGAATGCTATTTCTGTTTAAAAGACCATTACCCGTCCATAATATTAATTTATTGATGTAGGATGATCATCGGACATGAGTTTCACTGCGCTCAACCTAGCCCTGTAGTGAAAAAGAACTTTGGCAGTGCTAGTACCACTACCGGAGCCCCGCTACGCTCAATAAAATTGTGAAGGATTAAGTCCGAGTTATTACTGGAGCATCGCTTGTACAGGAAGTCGGGTCATTGTGTTGCCCCATGGCCTCCTTGCTCACATTTCGCACGATATGAGAACCGACTATGCTATCTATAATACTTGCGATATAGAAAAAACTGTTAATGAGGTTAAAGGAAACACTACCCGGGACTACGATATACCTATACCTAGAGCAAGACAAAGCCCCCAACAGCACACTTCTGGCATGCATGCTAGTAAAGATGATTGGGTAAAAAATGCCATTTTGATTTCATGTGCTGTAAATACACCCTGGGGTTGAGGCTTCGGGGTATACCAGGTTCCATCCAAGCTACGGGGATTTGGTGGATTAGAGTAGGGGTAAAACACGCCAAGAAAGCTTAATAGGTAGCCTAGCACAGTAAAGCATACTCCTGAATGATGGGATCAATCTTCATGGTTATTATAGTTGGAGGCTGGTGGGGTGTGTGATGTCCGATGCATGGTGGGGGGAAACTCGTTAAAAGAGTACTCGAGTACAGTACATATCATGAGAGAAGCAGAGAAATTTCTGGAAAATTCGGGATGTGGCCTGAACACAGATACGCAAGTAAGTAGTGTAAGTATCACAAGCTGAGACACACCAATGTTCTGGGGTTGGGAATACTGGTACCCTCCAGGATGCTCTTTTGATTGGACCCAAAACTCAATACCGTGGGAAGTGTTTATCTGTTGTTCGCGTCTTTGTGACCTTTATGTATAGTTTTTGGGCGGAATCCGTCGTTGGGCACCTATTGTACTTCGCCGCGACATATAAAAGCCGCATCGGAGAAGTGGGCGTGGGCAATTCGGGCTCGCTGTGCTGCTTCCCCTC